GCTTTTGTACAGCGTTCACCAAAAAATGAGACCAATTTTCGAATGACACTTCTTGATCGATTGAAGTTATCGCGAGAAAAAATTCAGGTATTCTTTTATAATATCAAGTTAAATGCTAGTGCGTATTAGACATTAAGTTCCGATGGATTGGTCAGAACACGCATAAAAAAGGAGAGGTATCTCCAGAGAGGCAGAGAAAAATTATGAGGGTTGATGAGGTTCAATTGAGGGTTGTCCTAGTTCCACTCGTTTTTAAATACGTCATACACAACGACCGAAGAAAATATGTACTGTACGATTCCGTACTTCATATTAACGCCCTCAGTGATTTTATTTTACTGATCCAACGACTTGTTCGACGAGACAGCAAAGAAGGATAAAACTCATTTCGCTGAGGCAGAATGCAACTTTCACATCCCTGTTCAGAGCCCACCCTCATTGGACAAGAACTTCAAATTTTTTCTATTCGATTCATCAGTCGGATTGATGAATTTGGGGTTCTTGAGGGAAATGATTAGGAAGTTTATGCTGGAGTTCTACTCTTCAAACGCATTCCAAGCACTTCTTCGTTCTGCATCGATTCGAAGCCAAAGAGACACAAATATACGCACAAGAGACCAGAAGAGTATACGACAAAGTCTGGGTTCGGAATCCGACGAAGTGGCATCCGAAAGCTGGTCGTCTCCCGAGGATACCGGATGAGGTGAAGAAACTGAGGAACTTCCCACGGGAAGAGCGGAACACTCCAAGGACGCTCGCACCAATTTCCCGTCGCGTTGCCACGAGGTGATTCCCTGTCATGGAACCCGAGTCTAGAATGTGATTATCATTTTCGGTGGTTTGGTTTTTGTTTTCTTCGAACCTCAAGTGCTCCATAAAGCACGGCCAACAGTGATTCTCACCCAGGGCATTGGCGTGGCCCCAGGTGTTTCCTGTTTCTCCGGCGCTCTTCCAGGAGGAGGAAGTACCGCAGTTTCCGATAAAAAATAAATAAAATTTGTTTCGAACAGTTCTGAATACGAAACATGCGTCATAAAAATCCCTTCAGCAGAATTTTTTTTCTTTGGAAAGTTCAATGAGTCTTTAACAAATAATTTTATTTCATTTTTCCGAGAGAAAATCGCATTTGAATTTTCGATATCCCTTTCTACTGTATCATGCTTAGTATGAAAACGAAAAATGCCAATGCAATCCATTAAGAATGCAAAGTTTTTTCAAGATATTTCTCATTTCTCTGAAATAAAAATAAATTTCGTTCCTGAAAAACAAGTACAGTGCGTTATTTTATTTTTTTTTTGCTTTTAAATCAACCAACTACAATGACGGGAAGCGTTCTTCTCATGCATGTGAAGAACTGGAAATCTCCGGAATGATCTTCAGTGAACCGAAAAATAATTCCTCATACAGAAAAGGCTATTTTTTTATTGGGATCGCTTAAATATGGAAATGATGTCTTCAAGCTCAAAGAATAAGTAAAAATAAAAATTAAAAAACTTGCTGTTCGGGAATATCGCTGCATAAAAAAGTTTTAGAGAGAGCTGTCCCCTCGAAGGAATTGACTGCAAACATTATTATGTTTTATACGGAACACGATTGGCTCATATTTCTCTGCTACTTGTTTGCTTACCTTCAAGGACCCTAGGGAAATGAAAATAGTCATGTGCCTGCCTTACAGTGTCCCTTTCAATGCCACATTGAATCGATTCACTTCGGAGAGCGCTCGTAAATGCACTCATCGAATGACTATATTCCTTGGAAAATTACTCTATTTACTCACTCTGAGGGTTTCTTTGGCTACGCAAACATCATTATTCCGGCGTAGAAGTGTCTTTTTATGTATAGTAGCACACATGTCCGAAATAAAATTAACGCTGGGCGAATTTTTCATTGATTGCACATGGTATTAAAAGTCACGCCCTAGAAGTTCAACTATGTTAGTCTTCAGGTCTGATCTGAAAGGTTTCAGCTTCGAAAATGTGTGATCGTATACCAAGATTCATTTAAGACGATGAGGAAGGCAAGCAACTTAGCTTGGATGACTGATGACCAATCTGGATTATCTGCAGTACCAAGACTCTTTTCGCCGAAGTTGAAAGCTTTTTCACTGAAAGACGCGGATGCGGGACTACGTCAGGAATGCAGACGCCCTGCGAATGAAAGAACCGATGACTGGGACATCTTGCAAGCGTTGAGACCAACTCTCATCATGGCCCAATGTCTCTTGGCGTTTCCGGTCACAGGACTAGTGAAGCCCTTTCGACAGGAATCAGGAAACAATGTGACGTTTCGATGGAAATCACCATTGACTTTCCTCAGCGTAGTTTACCTCCTTCTTCTTGGCTTAATCAGCATTCTGGCCGTCGGAGATTTCTTGGACAACTTGCACCGGCTCTCTTTGGCGAGCGACCGTAGGTTGCTGCTTCAATCGAGCGATTCTTTCATTTATTTCTAGATGCAATTTTTTTTCTTCAGAAAGTCGGCGTCTTTTGCAGGCTTCAATGTTTTTCACTGGTGGGTTTTTCGGCTTGTGCGAATTGCTGAGAGTTTCTCGATCGTTTCCGAAATGGTTGACGGAGTGGAAGACCTACGAACATCAAGCAGAGCACATGCGAGGATCCAAAGATAAATTTGAAATGCGGAAAATTTTCCGAACTATCTCGGCCGTTGTCATGCTTTCAGCTGCAAGTATGCTGCTAAAATGAGTCGATTTTCATTCATGAATTACTAGTTTGTATCTTTACCAGTGGAACACTTGCTGAGTCGCTTGGTATCGGATCAGTTGTGGCCAGCTCTTGAAAAGATAAATTCTACAGCAACCTTACCCGGAATACGGGAATATATCGAAACGCAATGTATTACGATGGATTCACATTTTTACAGACACGTGGGGATGCCGGGATGCGTTACACAGTTACTGGTATCGGAGTTTGCGACGTTTTTGTGGAACTTCGTCGATTTGTACATAATTTTGATCAGCGTCGCATTGCTTCTTCGCTTTGATGAATATAACAAACACATTCAGTGGTTGGCCTCTACGGTAAGCACCCTGCTTCTTTTTTTAGTATTGACCTAAGGGTGATTACATTCAAGGAACTTATTCGAAGGGGTACGAAAATATTTGTTGGAAATACGTGAGAGAGTTACACGCGCATTTGTGTGACTTGGTTGATCAAACGGACGATTTCCTTTCTGGGCTGGTTTTCGTTTCCTACTTGTACAACGTTTTCTTCATTTGCATGCAACTCTTCGGTGGACTAGAGTGAGTAACAATCTGTACCCGAAAATTTTAAGAGGAAGCAAAACTTGCTGAAATTTGGGGTACGATAGGACTACTTCGGCTGGAATGCTGAAAAAGGCTTACTCATTCTATTCGTTCATCCATTTGTGTGGGAGAACTGTCGCTGTCTCCTTCGCCGCAGCAATGATCAATGCGGAAAGTAACAATTGTTTGAAGGTTGTTTTATTCTGCCCATCCATTTATTATACGGAAGAGGTGAGAAATTATTGAATTCAACTACAATACTGTATATCCGTGTCTTGATTTCATTGCAATTTGAAGGCACGGAGATTCCAAATGCAATTATCGTCGGATCACGTGGGACTAACAGGACACGGATTTTTCCTCGTCACAAAATCCTTCATTCTCGGGGTGAGGTATTATTATTTGAACTCCCCATCCATCTTTACTCGATTGCGGCACTTTTCCCGAAAAATGTGCCCGAGAAACAGGGGGCGGCAATCGCCAGATGTTTTAACATAACGGCACCCAAACTTCATTCGGTGATTGCACAGTATGCATATACAATGCTGCATTCAAGCATAAGCCGCACAAACGTCACAAAACTCAGTATGATTCAAATTATTTGGGAAAAGGGTCGGGGTTTCCTCCGGACAAGAAAATATCACAGATTCGCCAATTATAAAAATATATTCGCAAGGTTAAAATGTCGAAAATGGCATGCCCGTAAACCTGAAGTAAAATGGCCCTTCAGTAATTACACATGATCAGAGAGAAATGAAACAGCTCAAATAAGAATTTAAGTACGTATAAAATAATCATGCCCATAAACATGTTTCTTCGAAATTTTGGCTCCAATGACGGGATGCCGAATTATTCAGATCCCTGGATAATCATCGCTTTGCTATAGATGAATCCTTTCTTAGAAGTCTTCAGATTTTCCGTGGTATTATTCCGAAGAAACTTCGCATTTTTTTGCGACCTACTTGGTTTTTTTCGCGAAATCACAGCCCAAAAAAGGGTGCAGCCTGCCCAGTCTCTATCGCGATGCATTACACGTAAACGAAGTGCATATTTTTTCGATAATAATAAAGGACCATTTACAAATGTTTCAGATTGTCAGTGCCATACTGACGTATGAGCTGGTGTTGCTGGAATTCTCGGAACCCACGAGCGCGAGCAAGTGCAAAGAAACGTAATCAAGATCATCAAAACGATTGTGCGGAGTGATTAATTCGATCAATTAATTTTCGTGGTGCGGACATTTCAACCCGGTAACTTTTGAAAACACGCAGTGAAAATCGATGCCCCGAAAATGAATTCAGATCGTTTCCGCTGATGAAGCCAGTATACAAGGCCATGGAGGCCGATAATGCTTGAATGTTCCCCGTGGCGCAGTTTCATGCGGGAAAAGTAAGAGTTAATCATTGGAGGGACTCAACTATGGCGGACGGAAGCGAAAACAACCTTCACTACTACAAAGAATGTTCCTCGCATTGCTGTTGAAAAGGATGATTTTCATCCTGATGGGATGGATTGATAGCGCGCAGAAGGGACTCGGGAACCAGGAATTCACCGCCGGGGAAAAGCATCGAACTGGATCATCGGGTTAAAAAAAATTCACATTTTCCCGCTCGCCGCATTTGCCTGACTAGATAAATCCCTTTTCAGGCGGTTGATTCCTTATCACGTTACAGCACGTCTCTGTTTTGTGTGGAAAGGGAATATAAAATACGATGTGATCTCGTTGCTGCGCGAATCAGTGCACATGCAGAGACTGCCGAGAGTGAAATACACGAGCACGCTATGGAATTGATGTGTTGTTGGGTCGGAGTTTTTGTGGTGTGGTTTCTCGTCCTTGCGGAAGGGAATCCGCAATCAAAATCGGGTAACGAGCTTGAGGAAGTGGATTTCACTTGCAAAACGCTTTGGAGTTGCTTCAAGTTCGAGCTGGAAGAAAGCTCGACTCTGGTCAGCGCCTTGAACAATATTACTAACATCTGCGAGAGCCAAATCCACTCTGACAACGGGACTCAGGCATATGGTAGGCTTTTTTAATTTTTAAATATACGACCTATATTGAACTGATTTTCGTGAAGTAACGATCGTTTCCACTCTAAAATGCATCGCGCGCTGGAATACAATAATAATGAGCTACATTCAGTGCAAAATATCTTACGCTCCACACGCAAGCAGACGAGATCACGCATATTGGCTCAAATAAGTGCAGTAAGCATAAACTTTAAATTGCGATTTTGCCCATTTTTTAACGAAATTATTATTTCCTGCATTAAAATGTGTACATGTATTGCTTATAATAATGACATGATAACTGCAATCCATTTTCTATTCGTCGGAAATAGATTGTGTGTCGATGTAAACTTAGATCTCGCATGTCAAAGCGGTTGTTTTTCACCCGTTTTCAAGGCATTGGAAAAATGATACAAATTATAGAATTAAGTAAAAAACGAAATATCCGTCAAATTACTTTTTTTCGATTGATGTTGAATTTAAGACGTTATTTCTGCGGGATACGAATAATTGCAGCAGGCAAGAATAATTATTCCCTTTTCCTGAAATTTTCAAGGCATTTAATGAAGCTCGATTGTAATTTTCGTTAAAAGGTTGGACGGCGTTTAGCAAACTTTGCAGGAGTGGGTCCTACATCGATTTGCTCATTGGAAATTACATTGAGCCGAATGATCGAGGAGATTACCACCTTTGCATGCTCACGGGTCTCGGGTTATTTGACTCGCAATCAGGGATCCATTTCCCTGCTTTGGCACAATTCATCAAGAAGGTCAAAGGCAGAGACCAAGAAAAGGCTTCTGTTGAAAAGACAATTTCCGACTGCGGAAAGAAGGTCGTCAGCGGGGCTTCGTTGTCGGTCATGCAAAAGCTGCGACAGTTCCAGGATTGCTTGCTGGAAGTCAAGCTGTGCCGCTGAATGCTCTCTTCTTTTTTTTACGACGTTTGCGTACGCTTTTTTATTTAATGAATAAACGCGATGGTTTTCGTTCTTCGTGCGTGGTGGATTAAGGTCGGTGCCCCATTTTCGAGGGCTAGGGTTTTGCTGGGCTTCGATTCGGCGTGTGTGTGGCGGATGCCAAGAATTACTCTCCACGCTGGGCGTTCGAAGCGATGGCTTATTGCTTGTCCCGGTCATCCCGTCCTCTCCTTGAACGGCAGGAATATAGGCTGGTAAGTTGTATCAAACGACGTGGTGTTGCCGTAGCCCTATGCTTCCATGCGCGAAGTGTGATGCGGAGTAAGGAATGCCTAGCTTCACTGCGAGGGAAAACGTTGGGATATATTGGGGAACGCTGGTTTTATCTGGTCTACATGCGCCACTCAAGCCTGGAGAAGCCAGCCGTGGTGAGAGTTGCGACTGCAGCCCGCTGGATTTCTCTCAGATGCGACACGTGCTCGTTCCGTAAATGTTCGGTCTTACCAGCACTTTTTCATCGACGTCCAAAAAAAAGAAGAAGAAAGAAAGCGCTTTATACATTACTGGAGCATTCATTTGTGTCGGGTGAACCATAGACCGCTTTTGATACCATACTAGGGTACTATATGTGGAAATAATGCAAAGTTTCCCTGTGCTTCACAGTTTCGAGCAGAAAATAAATCCGGTCACAGCAAGAGGAAAACTGTCGCAGCCGTTTTTAATTAAAACGTGGCAAAAGGCAAAAGTGCATGTGATAGGAGACGTGGTATCATCTTCAAGAATGACGCTACATGTGGTGTTTTATTCATCGCACATTCTTGCTATCATACTGTATATTGAAAATGTTTCAAATGAAAGCCGTCTGAAGTTAATTGCATGTGGCTCGAATGATTTTTAATCGTCGACCATTTTTACCCAGGAGACTTCCACAATTTTCTTTTGAAATATGCTGCAGTTTTCGTAGAAGATGAATTCCCTTGTGACTTTTTTTTCTGATAAAATCTTCCAAAAGCATTTTCAGATATTATAAAAATGTTGGCATGTCATTTGAGTCTCTTGTACTACTTAAATCGTGGACGAATTTGACTATCATATAAATTATTCCATTCGCTGCTGCCACTGTCTCGCTCAAGTAAAAAAAACTCAGAAGCAACCATATATGAATATATAAACGTTGAACAAGTACAGCAATTACACTTAATTATATAAGTGCATTCATGTGACTAACTCATTACTGGAGTAAATTTTGCTGTTTCAATTACTGGCAACTTGAACCTCTGTGCCAATGTGTATAACAGTCCTATTTCGTATGCGGATTAGCTGTTTTTATTGTTTCGTTCAGCCGCGACCTTTTCTAAATTAAAACCGTGTTAATGCCGTTGTTTTGTATTACGAAGTGTTTTTCGAGGAGCTGGACAACTTTCTTGTAGAAAAAAATTGAAGAGAAGTTGGTATCGGAGACGCTTTCATTTTGATTTCGTGAGGAAAAACTATTGGCTACGCTTTCCGCTGAAAACTTTTTTTCGAGCGACTCCTCAGTTCAACATTTCACTTTCCGATTTGTACATGTCACCCATTGTCTATGCAGGAATGATCCAAGGCAAAGAATTTGGAATTATGGACATCGGAAGTGTTGTGTTCTGCGGATTTATGTGGGCTGGAACGTGAAACTGCCTATAATGCCAACGGCGCTCATAATATTTGATCACATTTTTCTTCTTCTGCTGTTTCTCGTGGCGTTGTTTTTCGTTGCTCTGTCACTCATCCATCGACGCAGAAATGGAGGCAACAACGTTCTCGCTTGAATTCTGTGCATCATTCCAGGTAATCATTCGAAATCGCACTTTCACATAAAATCCGCCCTTCTAACGAAGGCAAATTGAGCAAACCAACCATGATTAAAACGTTGAACCGATGCTTCCTTTTTTCATGGACTTATTCACGTTTATCTCGTTGATGCGTCGAAGCATGTAACATACGTAAAAGATTCTAACTTAATCGTCTCCCATTTCGAATTATTAACTAGAAAATGACTATGGAGTACATTTGTAGCAACCCTATAATGTGATTTCTGTTGTAATTCGAAAATAATAGTTTGATTTAAAATGCCTTATAGATTGGAAAAAAAAATTATGAAAGTTTTCAAATAGAAGTTCACCCCCTTCAAAATAGCAGAGATTATCAACATATTAGTCAAGCTATATTTGCAAAACACAATCGATGAAATAGCATTAATTGAAGGGATTTTTTTCTTACATTTTTAAGAAGAACTTTTTAAACTTTAAATGAACCATCAAAATGCTCCCAGAATGAGATTAATTCCCTTCTGAAATAATAATAAAAAATGTCGGGCGGCATTGCATAAGATATCGCATATCAACGTGTGTTTTACTTTCCTGCACTCCATTACGGGATTGCAGAGCTAGCTTTCATTGCTAAATATCAACTCTTATCGATTCAATTAATGTGGAACTGTTTTCTTAAGGAATTTTCCTGCATCACGTTAGGGCTTTCAATCACATGCTAAAAATGAGAACCGTATTTACTCACGTACCACTCGCCCTCAAGTAAGACGCGCACCAGGATTTTCCAGCCAACATTTTTCATGAAATTCTATCCCCTGTTTCTATATAGTGACTCTAAAACTGCAAGTTTTAATAATAATAAAACACCAAAAATTTTATTTAGACATGATTTGATCCTGAATTTAATTAATTTTCAATTATTTTTATTATGCAGTACAGTATTAAGTTTTTCTATTGAAATTGGTCCAATTTTTTTATTAGAATCGAATATAATACACCCTTAAGCTTCTAAAACTTTAAAAAATGTACTAAGATATACCAGTCCATGCATGATAAGCACTACATTTTCCCCTCCCAATTTTGATAGTAAAAATTCGCGGGGTACTCGGGCAAATACGATAATAGGGTTGAGAATTTAGCGACAGAAAGTAGTACAGTATTGTGGCGAATTCAGCGAAAATCGTTCGTCGTGAGTTGTGAATGTTGATACTCGGAGTCGAACAAAGCAGGACTGATATAAAGTAGGATAGATGAGCAGGAAATTTCCCGTAACCCCTAATGGCCGACTGAAATAGACCGGTTCGCCTCCGTTGACTCCGGCGTATATACATAGTATACTGAAAACTTCCTGATGACCCGAGAATCCTCTTTGCCTCTGTGCACACAGCATGCAGCGACCCATCTCCTTTTTCTCATGTGGGATAGAAAACGATACATATAGCTCTCTAGTCGAAAATTAATTTTCTCGCTTGTCCAGCTTCGCCTTCCGACAGGACCCAGAAACCCGAGTATATGACCATGGAGACCCTCGCAGTTTGGTTTCACTCATTCTTCTTGACCTGAATGCGTCTTGTGCGCGGCAGACACGCTGCTTCGACAGCAAATGCATCTATCACATATTAGCTAAACTTCATTCCCGTAGTTTTCCAAACGAATCGGTAGATTTCATGATCCTCAAAAATGGGCTAGATACATTTCGCTTTCATCGTGATAGCATAATCATTATACGGAAATACTGTATTTAAATTTAAATTAAGGAGAACCTCTGCCCCGAACTAATAATGGCGGGACATTCGTTTCAAGATAATCAGTCAAAACTGCAAAGTATATGACCCGAGGATATAAAAAAACGTAATCGACAAGGAAATGACGTCCATGCAAATCTCACGGTAACAAATTTTCCTAAAGCTTATATTAACTTGTCACACTCCATCATATTTTTCAGGTAGATTTTCCTTTATTTTTCTGATGTTTTTATTGTTGGTCTCATTTTTATGCATATTTCCACATAAAATGCTAGTTAATCACAGGAGGAAAAAAAGTGCGTAAATTAAAAATTTTCAGATTATTTTGTTTCATTTCATTGACAACAATAACTGCATACGACATCGTTCAGCGCATGCACTGTTGATTGAATCCAGAATCAACAATATTTTAAGAGATTTCGTCGAAGTTAAAATGCCCCTTGGTAAAATTACCCTCGAACTCCATATTGAAATAAATTTTACAGATCATAACTTCACCCTTACTTGGGGAAATACTGCCGATGATGGAAGAAATATACATTAAATTTCCTGCAGAATTTTTCTAGAGATTTTACAGAAACAATTGATATTTCTGACACACGTGGTTATGCTACGATACCATGAATCATAGAAAAATCCCTGTAAAATCTCCCTTTTCAACCGTTTACACAGTTACTCCACTTGTTATCGCAACAAATCATAAAATTGGACCACAATTTAAGATTCTTGAGAACAGTTGCGGAAAGTTTCAGCTGTAGGATTATAAAATAAGAGCTTGCATTGTGAAGCCTGCAGAAACGCCGAAAGAATGTACGTGTGCAAGAGTAAGCCCCCTGAAATTGAGCAAAATGCTTCACTGACGCTATTTTGCGACATGAAGACTGACGTGATCTTTCTCGTTTTCTCAGGCGTGGGACAATCGACGGAGCCTGTCATACCGCAGGAGACAGAAATTGGAAACCAGCCATGAATCTCTCACCAACGATGGTTTCCAGTCCTCCCCTAAAGGTGCGAAGAGTCACAGCAGCATCAGTCTGGCATGAAATACCATTTATAAGCAGCCATTTCCTGCCCTGATTTCTCATGACGCCGTGCGTTTGAATGCTGCTGAATGATGGAGGCTTCTTTTTTTCCGGAAAGTATGATGTCAGTGTTCATTGAGCATGATGTATTTTGTGTCCCAAACACATGCCAAGAAGCTCTTGCCAGGAGTGTTGAGCGATGAGGTTCGGGGAATGACAACCTCATTCGACCGTAATTCCAGCAAATGCCTCCAAGGTGCCAATATGTCCTATTGCGATTCCGCCGGAATCAATTTTTTTATTTCTTTTCTCAGAATCGTAGACCTTTTTTTTTAAAGAAATATAGCACCTCCTATCTAAACAGATATCTTTGAGAATTGTAAAGCTTTTATGTTTACAGATAGAGGACGCTTTCAGGTTACGACAGTCTCTCCATCAGATGGATGAATATATCATGAGATGTATTCTTCGGTCGGCAACATGTAGTGAATAAATTTTCTGGCGATGCAAAATCTGTTTATATTGTGTCATGTTTGAATCAAGAAGCCGTTGTACGTCGAATCGCTGCAATTCTTTCAACGCTTTAAATTTTTATTGCGTTTATGTTCGGCCTTTTTCCTCACGACTCATCTGTCATACGGTCAAGATGCTGCTCGCTGGGATGAATTTGTCCATCAAAACGAAAACCCGTTCTGTGACGCGTCCTTATGTTCACTCTTCCTCTTGAGTAATATTTCAAAGTTCAAAAAATAAGAATCGTTACGATTGACAGGATCGCAATAAAAAATAAACCATTGCGATGAAAATAAAAATAGGACTTTTAGAAAACCATCAATCTTCGGATACCACGTTTCACAGGCTTACATAAAAGTTTTTTAAATGAATTTAAAAACTTGATCATTTTCGGCCTGACGAAAATAAGACAAAACACGATAAAGCAGCATTTCCAATAGAATATTGATCCAAGTCGTTCCGCGTCAAAATATCTTCGAAAATATTTGTGAAGGGAACTACGTGAACGATTGCTGTTCTCCGCTTATTTTTTGACGCGACTCTTTACTTGAATTACGAAAAACTGGTCTTCATTATTAGCATAATTTATCCATGCTTAAAAAAGCAATAATTTCTAATAACTGCGGGCATAAAAGTGAAGATCTTGGCTGCATCTATGACTGAATAAGATGCTGAGAAGCCTTCTTAATGAATGATTCCTATGTAGTCCTCGAACGCTTTTAGTTCCGTTCTCGCGACAGTCGTTCGTTCAAGTCGCGAAGATGTTGCAGAAATCCTTCATTCGGCATAACTTCTCTCTTCGATCTTCAAGAAAACAAAATCAAAAATATCATCGACCACATATCAAAAGGTTTTTAATAATTTTAAAAAACTAGCATAAACAAAGGTATACCGATATGAATCTCACGCAAAACGGATTCAGCTAAAATCGATCAGTGACCAACGATTTTAAGTCGTATTTCTTTGACTGGTTTATTCATTTGATGTGTATTGTATGTATTGCAATTTGATCGGATCAGACCTTTTACGCCTGAACAATTTTCTGATATATAGCTGCATCTTCAATAACTAAATTAATCAAAATAAGTTAAAGATAACGAAAAAATACTACCGACATAAAAATATTTTTGAAATTTGGATGCAGCTTCAATGAAAAATTACAGTTTGATTGATTTTTTTTAAAGGAATGACTCAATGACAGCATGACAGCCAGCCTTGTGCTGGTAGGAGATTTCTGGCAAACTCTCCGAATACGTTTTTCTTCTTTTCAAAAGATTCAACAAGCGACGCAGCAATTTTCACTCATCACAAGGTCACACATGATAGGTCAAGATCACACTGCGTTAAGAGAAAACCATATTCCTTGCAAAAATTTATTATTTTTGGCCTTCAAGAAGAAACGTGATGGAAATCAAATGTTTTTAGAACTTGTGATCGCCTGAAAAATTTGTATAAAAACCTCAGGGGTTTACTGGAAGAAGAAAAATGGGGAGCAAGGGGGGTATTTCTGGGAATTTTTAGTATAATCTTAATTAACAAGATAATCACTGTCCACTAGCAACCTCATTTAGCAAAATAAAACCCTAAAACAAATCAAAATAAAACTGCAAATATCATCATATATGATGCTGCATGCAAAACATTGTTGTGCTGAAGTTTCTTTCAATCCGTGCTACTCATCCAAAATGTCAAGAAAACAATGAATTTTAGCAAAGGTCACAATTCGATCCCAAAAAATGATCGGCCATCGTGTGATATTTGCTGGATGCTTTCTCTTGAAGGATTTGGCCATGCTTTTTGCAGAAAATCATTTTCCTTTGGAGAGTGGAGGGAAATGCTTGCCTGTCAGGATTTAAATATGAGGTCAGCACATATTCACCTGATAATTGTAAGGGCCTCTTGCGTAGCCATGCCTCGTTTGAGCATCAAGAATGCCACGACCAGCGTCGATGATCTGCTGATCCCTTGCTTGCAATGTACTATAACCTTTCCTGTAAAATATTCGAAGATCAGTTGACACATTTCTGTTGAAGAAATTCGAACGCATAGTTTGTGAGTAAAACTCCGGAATCGTTTCTGAAAATTTTACAGCTAAAAGGTTAGTTCGTCTTTTCACGCTGTGACTATACGGGTAAAACATTCCGCTGAGAATTTGTGTTGGAACCTGTTCGAAAAGGTTGGAGTTTTCCAAAATATGTTTGAAATGAACCTGCTGAGGAAACTATCACATGAAAACTATTAAAAATCTGTCATGGGGAAATTTAATAGCCGCACGTACTGGGACAAGAGCTGTATCACTTTTCAGGAATTGTGGGACGAGTACGGCCGATATTTCACGGGTACCTCCTGCTTGCAAATTGTCGTTGATGAATGAGGAAACGCAGTCGAAGTATGTACGGTATACAGTTGGAACGTGCTGCAATCTAAGGCTTTAATTCCGTCGTAGCTGACGGGAGTTTCACGGCTGAGTAGAGCGATGGGCCTGTGTCCACGTAGCGACACCAATCTGCACCTTCCGCTGCGTTCACGACTCTTCGGGTCTAATGCGAACGACCAGACGGCTGATCATACAAATGCCCAAAATCCAGGGAAAGGAAATGTCACATGCTCACATACAAAATGATCGAGCTGTTGGGGAAATGCTCCTGTTGTGGACGAAATATACGGGAGACACGCCTCGTCACTTTTCAACAAATACGAATAGTTGAAACGTACTCTATCATTTAAAAAATCGAGCGGTGCAAGAAAAATCATCAAGCGTAGATCTACATATTGAAGTGCTCAAAGAACGTTAAAAAAACATGTTTGTAGTACCCAAAATATATGTCACGCTGCAGCATCGCAAAGATGAAATCTGAGTACATCCTTCAGCACAGAAATGATAAGCTGAAGATGTTGTCGTATTTTATCGCATTTGTTTTGCAATTAAAGCGTCTTATATGTCATGAAAACAATTTCTTGGTGCCTCACATATTTCCATGTAAAGTGCATTCTTGCCGCTGACCAACACAACCGAATTAGGTGAAAAAGTTGATCCTGACTATAATTTTCAGTTCACGGATACTTCAGGTAAAATCATGGATATAATTCTGTTGGAAGTGTTTGGGTTAAGCCGGTAACTGAAACATACCGGAAAGCAACTGTTTTCAATGATTCAGGAGAAACTGAATGCAATCAAAATTATTCTAATATTCAAAGGCAAACCTTTGTAGTCATATTTACGACCACAACACCCTTCACTGTCCACTAGCAACCTCATTTAGCAAAATAAAACCCCCCTCTGAGGGTTTCTTTGGCTACGCAAACATCATTATTCCGGCGTAGAAGTGTCTTTTTATGTATAGTAGCACACATGTCCGAAATAAAATTAACGCTGGGCGAATTTTTCATTGATTGCACATGGTANTCGGCTGTGTGTGAAGATTAATAAATATCATTTTGAAATACTCTCACGGAGTAGCTTTTGCGTTTCCTTCGAAAGTCGCGGAAAACGATTTAAATCTCCGATCCCCTTTTCCTTTAATTATTAGAAAGAGTTCTCAACGACTGATCATCGTTGATTCCTCATTCGTAAAATAGTTTTTGGATAACACCTTTTAATTTTTGATGCACACAAAACACATGTGCATCTTACAAGCGATGACTTCTTATATTATGGTAATTTGTGTACGGTTTTCCAGTTTCACCTTCGGGAAAGGCTGAAAATGTTTTTCGCGGGAAGATGTAAGGAATCTGATGACTCGCAGTATACCTACAGAGGACATACGTAGATTACTCATTAAATCATGCATCATTCCAGAGATTTGCACTGCAGGGTAACTCTTCGGACACCTGGAACTTGGTCTCTTTCTTTCTTTCTTTCTTTCTTTCTTTCTTTCTTTCTTTCTTTCTTTCTTTCTTTCTTTCTTTCTTTCTTTCTTTCTTTCTTTCTTTCTTTCTTTCTTTCTTTCTTTCCTTATTCTAGCCATCGGGGTTCTGGGGAATGTATGCGTAGTGTGAATATATAGCGTATTGATTTATATGGAAACTTTCGTGGCTTGCTAATTCACTCAAACCCGTAATTTGGCGTGGCTCCCAACTACATAAGACTCTCGCTACGAACTTTCCAGACCAGGTGGAACTACTGGACTCAAGTTGGAGAACATCTGGAATGCAACGTTAACGACGGCATTTAGAAGAGGGCGGGCAGGTCTGCGTGCTGACTGCAGGTGAAGCTTCACACACTCGAGTAGTTGAAAATATAAACATTCAAGGTGAAGAGTACGCAGATCTTACAATTAGTAGGTCATTTGCGCGCAATTCCAGCGGAAAAACCCCACTGCGGTTTTGGGTTTGCATATTTTCCTGAAAACGTTGTTATTGTGATCTATGTAGCCAACGACGGGAATGAAGCCTTTGCTGATCCAGGAAAACATTCAATTTCAGAAGATTCGTTCATTGAATTCGAGCATTACCTGCACACAACTATGTGAATCGCGAAGTGAGCGTCGGAGGGAGGAAATAATACCGAGAAATTTTTATAAGATTCTCTCCCAAGAAGTATCAGGAGAGCACACATTTTTCTCGATGCAGAACCTCTGGAGATAATCTTACTCATTTTTCTAGATGGAATTCGTTTTCTGAAGTCCAGATAAACGAGTTCCATCAAAAATTCAACAATAATACGGGTGCTCATCACTTGAATTAAGGTCTTCGCGGAATTTCACAGATTGCTTACTTTTCTCGGATAAGGTAGGGTAATTTAATTGCTTCACTGCTGTCAAATTTTCAATAGAGGCGTAAGATAAGAATCACATTAACTAATCGACGATTCTGTCATTAATACAGCAATTTCTCCATACAACAAGCTTTATTCCCGCCATGACAGACGTTACTGATGTCGGTGTGCTGATACTTCAAAAATTTTGAGAATATCTCAAGATTCAGAATCCTTCAAAGTGATCTGGGATCAACGATAATAATTGACAAGCATTTGTTCCTTTGTTAATTACTGTTTTATCTTCAGTTGCAGAGTTGACTTTAAAAACCTTTTTTGCCATCAATCGTAATTTTAAGTTCACCTTAATATTCAGCATCCTGGAGAGAACAACAATCACAATTTCAACACTTCTCTCGAATAGGATTATGTGAGATTTTCTAGAGTGAAGTGACTAACGAAATTTCGGAATTGTTAAACTACTGTTTTCAGGCTTCTTCCTAAAGATTCGTAAAACGTGTGATATTGATTTTCTTCCTATAATGGGGTGCAGTGTTCAATCTCTGTCGTCTCCCAATTTGGATTTTCATTAAGCAATACTGTACTTTGAACAGTATAGTCACGAAGTGAATCAAGGTAATCTCAGGTCAAAATTGCGTTAATCTCCATGCATTCAACTAGAAAAATTTACGGAATTGACAAAACGAATGAAGCAACGTAGTGCAATTCTTCTCAAACTGAATTCTCACTGACAGTTATTCTCAAGGTCAACAGATGAGCCTTTGTGCTAGGAGAAAGCAGAGGTGTAAAGAGAATCTGCATGACCTTCAAAAACTTTTTTGCAACCCTAATGAAGGCGGATATTGGCGAAAGTTGAATCGGCAAAAAATGCGTGAATCTTGAAAATGATACACGTTGAGCGGCGTTTCTCGCGAGCCCCATCGTCTATTTCGGGATTGCCTGCAATTTCCTGAGTAGGTCGACTCGGGAGAGAGCATCATCCTTTTATTTTATTTTTTTTATCTCGCAGACGCATGTTTCCAATGACGGATTGCTGTAAATGGCCTCATCAGCGGCGCATGGGTCCACTCACCACCGGAAGACAGGGCCTCGTCAATAAAATCGGCCGTGTCCCGGAAGAACGGTGCCAGGCGGAAGTGAATGAGATCGATTGCCCGGAACCGGATAAAATCGAATCCCGGCGCGTTCATAATAAGCCTGTGTGGTGCGGACGAAGGGATCGAACTCTTCGAGCAACTCGACGCCTTCTTGGAAGAATGAGTGAAGACAGCACCGTCCTGGTAAGACTCATGCATCGCCGATGAAGATGCAAGGGTACACTTTGCTTGACCTGCACAGTCTACTTTGCCATGAGGACATCGTGGTTGACACTTGCACGCTTGCATAGTTGTATTTCATGTAATAAAATTGTGCTTTAAACTAACTCAATTTGTTCTAACATGCAATTTTACAGTTTTGTCTGTTTGTTGATGGCTGGGCTTGGAGCATGACTTCTGTCTTTCACTTGTACAAATCAGCCGTGATCTCACATAAAGTTTTATAACTTTTAAAAGGTGCCTTGGGGCTCCAGGGAGCACAGATTAAGAACCATATTCTAGGCATTTATGCTGGAATATATTTTTTATTTGTGTTTTATTTGTTCATTGTTACTGAGAACATTTATTGTACTGTACTTTGAGATGTGATGCCCGGTGGAACCTGTATCATCTGCACTCTGCTTATATAAACTTGCATTTCATCAAGTGTTCTCACAACAGTCACAAACCGGGAAACATCGCAGGCATGTATCAGCTATGATGAGACTCATTCATAATCAAATGAAATACTGTCGCATATTTTAATGATATGATCTTACACTGCTGTATACGATTTTTGCTATATATATAAGAAAGCACTGAGTCATTAGTCCGCGGAGAAAACTTCCATGGTGTCATTCTGGCAAAATAATTTTATGTTTCGAGTAAAACGCGGTCTATACCATGAAAACTTCCGCCAATTTTCCTGTACAATGCAGTAGTCAATTATTTTATATTGAGCAGAAATATTTTTGAGCAAATGTATATAGCACTTTTATAAGGAGCACAGTTTGTGGTTCAGCATATTCTTCATTAACGCGTTTAGGTTACATCCGAGTTTTTGAGCCTATTTCCATGCAAACGTGGCATGAATTATCGCGTGTGAACACAATTGTTCGTGATTTTAAAGCTCAGAAATGTTTGGCTGTATCTGTATCACATGTTTCTGCTGGTTGACATTAGTTTTATTTTGAAACAACAGTATACTGTACAATATATGAGTATGCGCGCGCGTTAATTCCGATTGTATCAGTCTCATTAAATGGATTATTTATGCAGTCGATCAGCTTTGTCTCAGCCGGTACCGATTTTGTTGCAAAAAGTTGAATAACGAGAAGTGAGTGTTGAGCGTGTCGGATAAGAGCTTATGTATTAGCATGAGTATTCTCGTCCACCCTTCATGAATAACGATTACTACGAGCACCATGATACAGTACATCTTCTTCCATCAGTACTAGAAGGTCCTGCAACATCCTTCCACGTGGTGCAGCTGGCGAAGAATGACCTGCATTGAGTTTCACTTGCTTGCCACCTCCCATAATTCTGCTTTGTACAGCCATGTTACACTCCTCCTGCAACTCCGAAAACGTGAAAAATATGCTGCTTGACAACATACAAGATACAACCGACCTTCATGGGGCATAGACTTGTTTTGTTTGTTCAGGCTGTGAAATCCTCACTCGTGACGTCAGCCGAAGCAGGATATGCATGACAGGCCATTATCGTAAAATAGCTGCGATGAACAGGAAAGTGGTGTTTTCCAGCATTCAAGGTCTCTGTTAACCGGATGTGGCTATGACTCACTTATTTTCTGCTTTGAGAAATGTTTGTTTCAGACTGTTATCCGCGTCAACAGGTGCAAAAACAAAGATTTCTTTATTTATTGGGTATATAGATCATGAAAATTTTCCTTGATTGATTCATAATTGCAAAGTAATCAAAGTAAACAACATTTTTAAAAAATATCACATCAGTAAATACTGTTTTCATACAGCGAAATATTGTCTTTGCAATTATTTGCATTTATTGGCTCTGAGGATGTATTTAACACAGCTACAGTGAGACCCCCACATGCGGATGCCTTGACCTGCGGACAATTTGACATTGGGACACTTATTTTCCCAGAAAAAATCAATAAATAATGCCCGACATGAGGACACTGACTCAACATAGGGACATTTTGTGATAAAATTGCAAATACATTTCAGGCCAAATTACAAGAAACAGATATTTCCAACCCTAGAATTGATGTAAGGAAAGTTCTTGGCCATATCTCTCACCAAATTACCATCCATTTAGCTAATTAAAAAAAATTACCTCCAGCATAGAGGGACTTCTACTTTTTTCACTTGAATGTTTTTTTTGTAGATGCCAAAATTTCAGTGTACAGTACAGATATACACTATTCGATGCTACAAATGTTCTTATTGATTTGAAAATGTATTCACTGATTCAAATTCAAATGGCGAACAATTTTTTTCAAGGAATTCTGAAGAAAATTTCTTCCACAAAACACCAATTAAAATTAAATAATGTAAGTCTATGGGAAAACAAGACAGGACTTAAAATCATTTTGACTTGGTGACACTCTTGATGCACCAATTACGTCCGCATCTCGGGGCCTCACTGTATTTTTTTTCTTAGTTCATATCCGGCAAGATTAGCTTCAACTATAAAAATCTTCAACGTGTGAAAGATCATTCAGCACAGTACATACGTTATTTGCCTCTTATAACATCTGTATCTTGAAATACGTGAGCAAGAGGTATATTAACACGTAATAATGTATAATAAAATATTGTAAAGGATTCTATATGACGTGGCGATAGAAGGAATTGTCTTAGACTTCGACTGTTACCTAGTTTTGAAAGCAGTGGCATAATTTCTGCTTTCTCATTTTGTTAAATATAGATGACACTCCCAAAAACTCTTCTGAATCAGGCCTCAATCCGGGACTCCGGGGAGTCCGGGCATCTAAGTTGTTCTGCGCGTCATTTGTTTCAACTCACACATGCAAACATTACCATGCAGTTCATGCAATCGTGTGACTGCGTAAAAAAGATAATACTGTAATTTATCAATCCTGAATTAATACGCTATAACAGGGTTTTGAAATTCTTGAAATCCTATGAGGAATGAGGAATTCTGTTTCAACGAACTCGTTTCCCTTATCCCATCAACACTGATCGCAGACGGCTGCATGGTGAGAGATTGCAATGGATTTGATTTTCCCGAAACTGCTTCACTGGTGAGATTGAAAAGGGAAAAATAGCTCTGCTGTCTATCAATCTTTCTTTCTTTCTATTTTATAGGTCTTGCAAGAAGTGAGAAAATGTTAGATTTCGTTGCATTTCAGTCCGCGATGACTGCTGGGGCAGTCGGTGGTTTCCGACCCATGATGCCATCGCTTAATTTAATTCATGATCTGTAAATCGGGTCAAGAAAATTAAAAAAAAACTATTAGGATGATTTCCGTATAACTTAAGTGCTGATTGTAATCAAAAATAATTAGATAACCAACTCAACATTTATAAAGCTGCACTTTTCCCTGTTTGAATATTTAATCGCGGTTCATGTTTTAATTTGTTTTGAAATGTAAGATTATGTTTTTTATCGAGCTGACAGGATTAATTCGTCAAGCTGCTGATCCCCGAGAAGCGTAGAATTAAGCTGAGTACCATAATAATATTGACGCTTCTGTATACTGTATAGTCACTTCAGTTTAGTAATACAGTACTGTACAGTACATCGTTGGAAGTCAGCTTATGTTGTTTTATTGAATGATGTGTATAGCTCTTCCCGTATATTTTTTCGTGAGATGCTTTAAAAAAAATTTTTTCGTCTTGCTTTTAGATGCATTTCAAAGATTTTAGATATAATTGTAAATGAGGAAAATTGAGAAACACACATAGCAAGTAGGGTATACTGTACTTCAGCTTTAGGCTGCTGTGTTTCGTCCTCTGATTGTTTAAAACTTTTTATGCAGTCGATCAGCCTAGAATTACTGTACATAGTTGACACTCAATTCATCGAATTTTTTGAGGTATCCGCATCACACAGTCATATCGACTTAACTTCGAATAAGTTATACGCTGGGTATTAATATATGACAGACAAAATGGTTCCATCACGTAAAAAATAGTACAGGTTGACTCTCTCTCTCTCTCTACAACGGTATTTTTTTACAACGATTTTCTCAGTATAACGAATTTTCGTGTATACCCATTCGACTCTCGTCATCTTCCCATGCTACAGGGGCTCTCTATGATGAAATTCTCTCTACAACAAATGCAATGCTGGTCCCTTGAGTTTTGTTTCAGAGAATCCTCATAGATTATTTTCTTGTTTCCTTGCAAAGCTCTTTGCCTGACTGAACGTTGATCGTCGATTGCAATCACGCCGAAAATCTAAAAAGGCCTGCACACCCAACGGTGTCAGCAAGGAACAGGATCGCCTGCGCTCCGCAGATTTATTTATCGCCGCTCCTCCCTGCATATGAGCAAACCATTCCGTTGCTTCAGCAGTGCAACGTCAGCGCGCTTCCATTCGAGAAGGGCTTCGACGCTGTTCGGCTGCTACTCGTCATGAGTCTCTGTGCACGTGAAAGAAAGAGAGGAAATAATAAGAGAAAGAGCAGCATACTGAGCTGTTACATTGCCTTCAACTCCGCTGGCATCACGCCGTGAAATTCTCTGCAGGGCCAGTGATTTTTTGGAATGGCCGATATACTCCCAGTGACTTCCAGTAGCCGATACTTGTGAACCCCGCGGTTGGTAATATTTCTTCTGGAGAGGGTCCGGGGGGTGAATATTGCCCGAAAACTCGGAGCGCATTTTTCACCCGACACCGCTGCCGGACTGAATTATTGTTGAAGGGTGTTCGACAAGTTTCACATCATGGATCCAGATTCCAAGCAGGACTGTCTCAGTCGTAGATTTTTTACTTGAATTATGTTCTCTGCAAATAAGGTGACTCAGCCGATCTCAGCCTACGCTTCATGAACGGTTCTTACATTCCCCCGAAATCAACCGGCGGAAACGGAGTTTGCTAACATTTCGCGCGTTAGAAATAGATAACTTGTGTGCATTACTAGAATGGCATCGAAATATGGCTGAATCGCGGGATGTTTGGAAAGCTTATGAGGAATTGAACGATACTGTATTTGCCAAACGGGTGAGACCTGTTTTTTCTCACTCGTCAGCATATCGTGGATTTCGGGA